TTTCTTAGACTATTGAAAATATTGCTGTACAGGTAGTACTGTATGTGAATATTTTTATTCCAAACAGGATGTATGAACAGAATGCAAATCTAGTCAAATAGAAGATCTTACATAAGATATACACTTCTACATAAAATTACAGTTAATATTAGTTGCTTTTTATGTAATGCACCCATCTAGAAGTTTGGTTACAGGTTCGTTTTGAATGGTCTCATGACTGGACTGCAGTCCTCCTGAACACTACAGTGAGAAGCTCCCTGGCCTTAGCAGCAGGAAGCATTCCAGGCTGTCTCATCATACCCAGGGTTGCAGCGAACTCTTCCATAGGCTTGTTTGTGTGTTTATTTAAAATCCTTGGCTGTTCACAAATTAAAATTATGTAGCACACAATGTCAAGTTGTTGCTAATTCAAATCATAGGCTGGGATTGTGGGTGAGCATGCCCTACATAGGACTCTACTGCAGTTTCCGTTTCTCACTTGTCAGTTTCCATTTCTCACTAGTTTGTTAACTCAAAGGGAGGGGGAGCTTGCAGTGGAGGAGGTACCTTCCTGCAGAAGGCAATCAGGGAGATAGAAAATCCTACAGGAAGCCCTGCCCCCAGTCGTATGTGGTAGGTAACTCAGGGCAGACCCCAAAAAATTTTTGTGGGAAACTGGATTCCGAGACAACATTTACGTTTGTTTAGTTGACAATTCTAACTTCATCACCTCTATAAACAAGTTTCAGGTCTTAGAGATTTCTTTTAGATCTTTCCATTTTAGCTATTATAGCCATCTTAATGAATTGTGAGGTGGATGTCATCTTTTGCAAGAATCAGTTTGGAATCTCAGGCTTGGAAATTAGGAAAAGAATCCAGGTTTGGAAATAAGTGTATTTTCTCACACTTTGATTTTACTTGAACAACCATAAATTGGAGAAAACTTGCCAATGGCCATTGAAAAAGTTGGTTCATATTATTTTTCAGTGTTACATAAATATTAAAGTGAATTAGACCCCCGTTGCTGGTGCAGCTAAGATGCATCTTGCTGCTCCTGTGATGTTTCCCCACTGCCACCCTCCAGCTGGGCAGCAGCCTCCCCAGACACATTCTGGGTTAGCTTTCTTGCTGATTCCATGTGTCTTTCTTGTTGGAAATCCAACCAGGGCCAAGCACATCATTGGGGCCCTGATTGTGCAGATATTTTGGCAACTTCTTGGAAGGTCTTCTTAGAGAAGAAGGCACAATGGAAAATGGTCACTCCTTTAGAATGTCAATGGCTGGAGTTTTTAAATGACTGTGGCTTGTATGCAAATGGTTGCTCCTTTCCTCTCTATAAAGATAACACTAAAGTTGTATGTGCCATGTGTGTATTCTGGGAATCTTTTCCTTACTTGCCTTATAGAACACTGTCTTTTCTACCTCTTCTCCTGGCTCTGTGGTTATTATCTCCCTGGCTCCACTTCTTCTGCCTGCCCCTCACATGTTGCTGTTTCCCTGGATTCTGCCCATAGCGAGTTATGGGGAGCTTGTCAGGTCAACATAGAAGGATAACGCTTGGAAACCAAAAAAGCCACCTGAACTTTGTTGGTTGCCCAGATGTCAGCATGTGATAGTAAGCACCACTGATCCCCACTCACTGTTGGTTGCCATCTAACCATATAAATGCAATTAGGTGATTGTTCTGGGATAGATAGCTTCAAGTAAAAGGACAAGCTTTTTTTTTTTTTTTTTTGTCTTTTTCTTTTTTAGAATCTAATTGCATCCAATCAAAAAGGATACAAATTATGGTAGATTCTGCTTTGTGAGAAAAGTGGTAATAACAACACAGTTGTATTTTACTTTGATACATTAAGTCCTTCATTTTGAAATATAACAGAGCAAAGCTCCTCAATTGTGTCATCGCTCACTGTGGCTGAGGGCTCGTTGAGCTAACAGTACCTATCCTGCAGTAGACTTTAGCCTAAGATGCAGTTTTCTTGAACTCCAGACAGAGAGCTTAATTAATATAGAAAAATAAATCACAGTTATGCAGTGACTCTAATACAGATTTCTGTTTAATTACAGGATAATTTATAAATTCAATAAATATTTAAAACAAACGTGCTTTGCTGATAAGCTCTGGCTGTTCTCTACACTTAAAGGTTTTGTGTTGACTGTTAAGAGCTAGTCACTATTGTGTTAAGCAACAATAATTTGATGCAGAGAGAGGGCTGATTACATTATATGTAAATAAGACAAAGCAATAAAAATCAAGACCATGAAATGGGCATGAGAGTGGGATCCATTCATGGCTTAAATAAGTGCTTCAGTGGAATTACATGTTGACCATCAGCACCAAAGCTTCACTCTTAGAAATTCTTGTAAATAAGAACACAGTTGTTCATTGTCATTTGATTAATCTCTCTTCTATTTAGAACCTTGTGGTGCTAAGAGTAAATAGGAGTACTTAAATCTAAGAAAGTGGAGAAATCTGTGGAAAGAACATAAGGAAATGCATATCTTCATTGTTCAAAAAAAGATTAAATTAGTGATTGTTCCATGATTCACTACTTCTACCATGATTTTGGATAGTTTATTACTAAATCTGGCATGTTAAAAAGTGTGAAACAGAGTTGGATATATTAATGACTGTATATCCATATTAATATATATATATATATATATGTATTTATTGCACTTTAGATCCTGGAGTACATGTGAAGAACATGCAGGATTGTTGCATAGGTACATACATGGCAATGTGGTTTGCTGCCTTCATCCCCATCACCTATATCTGGCATTTCTCCCCATGTAATTCCTCCCCAACTCCCTACCCCTCACTGTCCCTCCCCTACTCCCCGCACCACAGACCTCAGTGTGTGATGCTCCCTGTGTCCATGTGTTCTCACTGTTCAACAGCTGCCTATGAGTGAGAAAATTCAGTGTTTGATTTTCTGTTCTTGTGTCAGTTTGCTGAGAATGATGGTTTCCAGGTTCATCCATGTTTCTAAAAAGGACACAAACTCACCATTTTTATGGCTGCATAGTATTCCATGGTGTATATGTGCCACATTTTCCTTGTCCAGTGTATCATCGATGGGCATTTGGTTATTTCTTTCACAGATGTTAAAAATATAGATAGCTGCTTCTGTTTTCTAAATGTAATGAAATAGCTGACACAATTTGGAATAGAATATAACTAAAAGATAAACACTTATTGGGATTCTGTTATATTAAATGCAAAAATAATGATTTTTCACAGTTGAGATAATAAAAGGATAGAAGAGATTGAAGTACTAATTAAAAGTCTTCCAACAAAGAGAAGCCAAGGCCCAGATGGCATCCTGGCTGAATAATGCAAAATATTCGAGAAATAATTAATACCAATTCTTCTTAGATCCTTCCAAAAAATTGAAGTAGAGGGAATACTTTCAAACTCATGCTATAAGATTACCATCACCCTGACACCAAAACCAGAAAAGGGATCCTCAAAAGAAAGCTATAAGCCAATGTCTCTGATAAATATAGACACAAAACTTCTTAATAAAATACTAGCAAACCAAATTTGGCAACATATCAGAAAGATTATACACTATGACAAAGAAAGATTTACCCCTGGGATACAAGGTTAACTAAACATTTGCAGATCAATCAATGTGATTCATCGCATTAACAGAATAAGAGATAAAAACCACATGATCATCTTAATAGATACTGGAAAAGCATTTGACAAAGTTTGGCTTTATTTTACAATAAAAACTCTCAATAAAATAGGTATAGAAGGAATTTTTTTCAATATGATAAAGAACATTTATGGAAAACCCACAGCTAACATAATCAGTAGTGAAAGGTGGAAAGCTTTTTCTCTAAGATCCAGTGCAAGGCAAAGGTATACCGTCTAACCTCTTTTATTCAACATAGTACTGGAAGTATTATCTAGAGCTATAAGAAAAGAAATATTAATAAAAAGCAACCACATTTGAAGAGAAGAATTTTTTTTTTCGCAGATGACATGATTCTGTATGTAGAAAACCCTAAAGACCCAATAAAAATATTAGAACTAATAAATAACTTTGGTAAGGATATAAACATCAACATAGAAAAATCATTTGCATTTTTATGCAATATCAGTCTCTCTGAAAGAGAAATCAAAAACAATAATTCCATTTAAAATAGCATCAAAAAGAAAAAAATATATTTAGCAATAAATTTAACCAAGGAGATGAAAGAGCTCTACACTGAAAACTATAAAACATTGATGATGGAATTTGAAGAAGATGCAAATAAATGAAAAGACATCCCATGTTTATTAATTGAAATAATTAATGTTATTAAAATATATATGTGATCTGAAGCAATCTACAGACTCAACGTAATATCTATCAAAATTTGAATGGCATTTTTTTACAGAAATAGAATAAATGACAATTCTAAAATTTATGGTACTACAAAAGACCCAAAATAGCCAAAGCAATCTTCATATAGAAGAACAAAACTGGAGACATCATATTTCTTGACTTTAAATTATATTATAAATCTGTAGTAAACAAAACAGTATAGTATGAACATAAAACAGACACATAGAACAGTGGAACAGAATAAAGAGCCCAGCAATACACACAAGCAAACAGAGTCAACTAAATTTTGACAAGAGTACCAAGAAGATGCAATCAGGCAAGAATAGCCTCTAAAAATGGTGTTGGAAAAACTGGATCACCACATGGAGAAGAATAGAAATTCACTCTCATCTTATACCATGCACAAACAGCTCAAAATGGATTAAAGACGTAAGTGTACCTTTTACTATAAAAGTCTTAGGGCACAAGTATATGCTCAGTCCCGTGAATTATCTTAGCAAAATAACTGAAACTTGAAGTGATCTGGGGGATCCTAGACACAGACACAGGAACAGAAGAACAAGGTTGTGCTTTTCCCCTTAAATTAAAAAGTTAACCTACATATATCTGAACAATTATTTTGTAAATTCTCATATATAATTGTATTGAAAGATTAGCCACAAATGTTATTTAACATTTCAGGAATAGCACTAAACTATTGCTGAACAGAGATTTGGACACTGAAGTGAAATGGACTGTGAGGTCCTTACTCATTAAGGAAGAAACTCACTGGTCAATGTGGTAAGTGTAGTTTGTATTTTGGATTATATTCTTCTAATTGTGATTGCAGTTTGTATCTTAAAACTTTTCTAGGTTGCACAGTTGATGGATATGACAAAAAAGACAATTAAATGATAGCTGACATTTTAACTGCACCAGGAGCTACACGTGCACTATCTCATGTAGTTTTTCAGCAACCTTCCATGTTAGACACTACTATAATCTCCAATTTATCAATGAGGACACTGAGGGCAAATGTCACTCAGCTGGTCAGTGATAGAGACAAGTCTCATGGCTAGGCAGTGGATGGCACGGCTCCTCTTATCATCCTGTGACAATTGCTCTGCACTGGGAGGCAGCCATGGAAGCCAGCAGAGATGCTGATGAGGAAGACAAGCTTGCATTATCAATGCTTGTCATTGGAAGACATAAGAGATGCTCTTCCTACTGCTTAGTGGCCGAAGGCTGCCTCTCCTACCTTGAGTGTTCGCGCTGCATGTCTGCAATCAGGAGAAAGAAGCAGACATGCAGCTTGAACCAGCCTACCAACTACAGAAAAAGCCCAAGTCCAGACGGGTTTACAGCCGAATTCTACCAGACACACAAAGAGGAGCTGGTACCACTCCTTGTGAAACTACTCCAAACAATACAAAAAGGGAATCCTCCCCAACTAATTTTATGAGACCAACATCATCCTGATACCAAAACCAGGCAGAGACGCAACTAAAAATGAAAACTTCAGGCCAATATCAACGATGAACATCAACACAAAAATCTTCAATAAAATGCTGGCAAACCAAATGCAACAGCAAATCAAAAAGCTTATTCATCATGATCAAGTAGGCTTCATCCAGGGGATGCAAAGCTGGTTCAATATACACAAGTCTATAAACATAATCCATCACACAAACAGAACCAAAGAAAAAATCCACATGATTATCTCAATAGATGCAGAGAAGGCCTTCAACAATATTCAGCAGCCCTTTATGCTAAAAACTCTCAATAAGCTAGGTATTGATGGAACGTATCACAAAATAATAAAAGCTATTTATAACAAACCCACAACCAATATCATACTGAACGGGCAAAAACTGGAAGCATTCCCTTTGAAATCTGGCACAAGACAAGGAGGACTTCTCTCACCACTTCTATTCAATATAGAATTAGAAGCTCTAGCCAGAGCAATCAGGCAAGAAAAATCAATAAAGGGTATTCAATTAGGAAAAGAGGAAGCCAAATTTTCTCTATTTGCAGATGACATCATTGTATATTAACAAGACCCCATCATCTCTGCCCAAAATCTCCTGAAACTGATAAGCAACTTCAGCAAAGTCTCAGGATAACAAATCAACTTGTAGAAATCACAAGCATTTCCATACACCAATAACAGACAGAGAGCCAAATCAAAAGTGAACTCCCATTCACAATTGCTACAAAGCGAATAAAATACCTAGGAATACAACTAACAAAGGATGTAAAGGACTTCTTCAAGGAGAACTACAAACCACTGCTCAATGAAATAAGAGAGGACACAAACAGATGGAAAAAGATTACATGCTTGTGGTTGGGAAGAATCAACATCATGAAAATGGACATACTGTCCAAAATAATTTATAGATTCAACACTATCCCCATCAAGCTACCAATGACCTTCTTCACAGAACTGGAAAAAAACATTTCAAACTTCATATGGAACCAAAAGAGAGCCCACATAGGCAAAACAATCCGAAGCAAAAAGAACAAAGCTGGAGAGATCATGTTGCCTGACTTCAAACTACACTACAAGGCCACAGCAATCAAAACAGCACGGTACTGGTACCAAAACAGAGACATAGACCAATGGAACAGAACAGAGTCACAGAAGCAACACCACATTTCTACCATCACCTGATCTTTGACAAACCAGACAAAAACAAGCAATTGAGAAAGGGTTCCCTGTTTAATAAATGGTGTTGGGAAAACTGGCTAGCCATGTGCAGAAAGCAGAAACTGGACCCCTTCCTGACACCTTACACTAAAACTAACTCAGGATGAATTAAAGATCTAAACATAAGACCTAACACCATGAAAACCCTAGAAGAAAACATAGGCAAAACCATTCAGAACATAGGCATAGGCAAGGACTTCATGACTAAAACACCAAAAGCATTGGCAACAAAAGCCAAAATAGACAAATGGGATCTAATTAAACTCCAGAGCTTCTGTACAGCAAAGGAAACAATCACTAGAGTGAAGAGGCAACCAACAGAATGGGAAATATTTTTTGCAATCTACCCATCTGACAAAGGGCTAATATCCAGGATCTACAAAGAACTAAAACAGATTTACAAGAAAAAAACAAACAAACCCATTCAAAAGTGGATGAAGGATATGCACAGGTACTTTACAAAAGAAGACATCTATGAGGCCAACAAATATATGAAAAAATACTCATCATTGCTGGTCATTAGAGAAATGCAAATCAAAACCACACTGAGATACCATCTCATGCCAGTTAGAATGGCAATTATTAAAAAATCTGGGGTCAACAGATGCTGGAGAGGATGTTGAGAAATAGGAACACTTTTACACTGTTGGTGGGAGTGCAAATTAGTGCCACCATTGTGGAAGACAGTGTGGCAATTCCTCAAGGACCTTGAAAAACAAATTCCATTTGACCCAGCAATCCCATTACTGGGTATATGCCCAAAGAATTATAAATTGTTCTACTATAAAGACACACACACATGTCTGTTCATTGTGGCACTGTTTTCAATAGCAAAGACCTGGAACCAACCTGGATGTCCATCAATGATAGACTGGATAAAGAAAATATGGCACATATACACCATGGAATACTCTGCAGCCATAAAAAAGTGATGAGTTCATGTCCTTTGTGGGGACATAGATGAATCTGGAAACTATCATTCTCAGCAAATTGACACAAGAACAGAAAATCAAACACCACATGTTCTCACTCACAGGCGGGTGTTGAACAACTAGAACATGTGGACACAGGGAGGAGAGCATCACACACTGTGGTCAGTTAGAGGGGGCTAGGGAAAGAAGACCGGGGAGTGGGGATGGTGGGGAGGGATAACGTGGGGGGAATTACCAGATATAGGTGATGGGAGAATGAAGGCAACAAACTACCTTGCCGTGTATGTACCTATGCAAAAATCCTGCATGATCTGCACATGTACCCCTGAACCTCAAGTACAATAAAATAAATAAATAAATAAATAAATAAATAATAAAACTGTTTCTTTAAAGGTGACAGGAATAAAAGAAAAAAAATTGAAGCAGAGTGAGGTTATTTGAGCTTATTTTGGAGAGAGTGGGCAGAGACTAATTGGATCAATGTGTAAACTGCCAAGCTTCTGATGCCTCCTCCCTTCACTTGCCCTCTTCTCTCCCAAGCTCAGAAGTAGCTGATGAGGGGTAGTTTGGAGGGAGAAAGAAACACTCCTTATCTTTATCTTCAATCAGCTCCTGAATTATCCTAAATCATTTTCTCTCTTATTGTCCTAACAACACAACTATGACATAAAAATGAAAATTAATTTCCCTTTTATCAAACTACTCTGAAATTTCATTTTCTTCAAGTACCATCTATTTGATTTTGCAAAGACCATCTTAACATGGTTTTGATGATTTAGAGAACACCACAAAGGTGCTTCTGAGGATGGAAAAATTACTCATGAATGTGGACAACTTTAAAATGAGATGTGTAAATTTACCCGGCTATTGCATGTTTTCTTGTTAGGTAGTATTTCTCTCCACATTTGATTTCTTTTCAGAGGTTGTGAGCACTTTAAAGGCTAACTGATGGACTCTGCATGTTGGGAACCCTGGTGAGCATTTTCTGAGAAGGGAAACAGTAGCACAAAGGTTTAATAAATAGCATACATGCTCATCTGAGTCTCAGAGTTTTGCCAGGCAACCATGGCAGGATCTCATCAATGACTTCTTCCCTAGAAGCCATCTGGCTTCTCCCACAGTTTCTACAACAAACACTGTGGGGCCCACATGGTTTGGATAGCATAGCAGCATCCAGGAGCCCTCTGATCTGTTTAATCTGTGTCTAGGCATTCGGCCAAATGGCAGCTAACATATCAATGCACACAGTTAGTTCTGCAAGTCAGCTGCTCCCCAGTTAAAACAAGGAAGGGAAGAAAAAAATCTAATGATTCGCGTGTTTTAAAAGAAACCTCTTGCTGCTTCTAAAACTGGAATCTACAAGCACATAAGTGTTCCTTCTCATAGCCACTCAGCTAGTACAGAGTGGCGATCTGCCCATGAAATGGCCCATGTAGGCACTGACCATGTCTGTCATTACAGCCTGTAGTAGGTAGCGAAGCAGCAAGTGTTGTCAGACGTTGAATTAAAAATAAAAGCCTTAGTGCTTTGAATTAGAGAAAGCCTGTGTTTATAGGCCACCCCTTAGATGTTGAAAGGAATAGAGAATGAACAGTGGTTGGCAACGTCAAATAGAGATATAACAGTGAGTCTGGGGGTTGGGAAATGTAGTATTATTGCTATCATCCTGTCTAGATTGAGCACATGTATAAAAAGTTACAGCCTTAATATACCAAATATTCAATCTTTAGTATTGGTATTCTACAAATTACAAGGGCTATATTTCCTTTCCCTGCCTCTTATTAGCATCTTTGCCTTGGGGAGGATATATAATTTCGAGAGTCAGTGGCTTTAAATAGTGTTCAAAGTCATGAGACTAAGGAAAGAAAGTAGAGAAAGAAGGCAACCGAGGACTGAACCCATAGCAACAGCAACATTTATGACTTTATTGAAAATGACAAGTCAGGAAAAAAAATCTGGTTAAACAACCAGTGAGGTCAAGGGGAATTTAAGGCATGTGGTGGCAAGGAAAACAGAGAGCACTATCCCTGAAAAGATTCACTGAACACGCACCTGCACAAGAAATTGACTAAGCACCTATGACGTCCTTGGGATTCAGAAATGAATAAAATAAAGAAAATCTCTGCCCTCATGGAGCCTATGTTAACCAGAGACAAATAACA